CATGTCTACTATATAGTCTTTGAAATAAGACTTTTTGCTCTTTGTATCATGCATTTGAGATTTATGCATATTAATGTGTTTATATATAATCCATTCATTTATTGCTGAGTAGTTTTCCATTTTATGAATGTATCAGTTCATTTACCTTTTCCTCAAATAAGAGATATTTTAGTTGTTTCCAGCTATTTGAAATTATGAATAAAACTGCTATGAATATTCACATATAGTTTTTGACAGAACAAGCAAACCAAAGAAAATATGAAATAATGTTTTTCAGGACACTAGACATCAGAAACTATTGACAGTGTTCACCAGAAGATAGGAAACAAGATGAGCTTTAAGATTTTTTCACTTCATTAAACTGGAGAAACATTTGCTCAGGTAGGTTACAGAGAAGGGTGCTTGGTCCTCATATTGGGCCAGGAATATTGCCGATTCTCATCCATTGAAAAACCTCATGGTTCAAAAAGGCCAGGGCACTGAGTTGAATACTTAGGAAGACTTTGCATCAGCAGTGGGTCATAATTAGGCCTAGACTGAGTACTTCTCAAGACCTGCCTCAAGAACGGTAATAGCGGCCTGAGAGGAGCTGGGGGAGGACGGTGGCCCGCGAGGCTCGTCGCGGACAACGCGGCGGCGATGTCCGCGAGCCAGGCGAGAGCCGCGGCGGCAGCGGCGGGGCCTCGCACGCGGCAAGGCGGCCTGGGCTTCGGCCTCCCTCCGGTTCCTAGGAAGCGGGCCGGCGGCCAGCGCGGGAGCAGCAGCGGCGGAGGCTTCGGCGCGTCTCTCTCCTCCCGTTGAGCCTGAGCCGGGGGAGGCCAGGCGGCCCGGGTGGCTGGAGGGGGGTCCGCCGCCCGAGAATGGGAATTCTCTGCACCAGGATTTGGAGACTGTTCGATCACCAGGAGCACAAAGTTATCATTGTTGGGCTGGATAATGCAGGAAAAACTACCATCCTTTACCAGTTTTCTATGAATGAAGTTGTACATACATCCCCTACAATAGGAAGTAATGTAGAAGAGATAGTGATTAATAATACACGTTTTCTAATGTGGGATATTGGTGGCCAAGAATCTCTTCGTTCTTCCTGGAATACTTACTATACTAACACAGAGTTTGTAATAGTCGTTGTGGACAGTACAGACAGAGAAAAGATTTCTGTAACTAGAGAAGAACTCTACAAAATGTTAGCCCATGAGGACCTGAGGAAAGCTGGATTGCTGATTTTTGCTAATAAACAAGATGTTAAGGAATGCATGACTGTAGCAGAATCTCCCAGTTTTTGAAACTAACTTCTATTAAAGATCACCAGTGGCATATCCAGGCATGCTGTGCTCTTACTGGCGAGGGATTATGCCAAGGACTTGAATGGATGATGTCACGGCTTAAGATTAGATGACCTCTACTGACCTCTTCTCATAGACTTTGTATAAAGTGCTGGACTTTACATGAAAGCTGCAAAACTTAATGGTTTAGATACATTTATAATAAACTGAATTAAACATTTAAACTTTTTCTATAAGAAAAATTAAGACCACTTATTTGAAAACAAAGATGAAGTCTCACCTTCCAATCTGCTTTCTCATTAGTTCCTTCCAAAGCAAAGTCTTAAAGCTGTGATTGACACTTTTCTCATAATGAATCCTCTCAGGATGTTGTGTAGCCTGTGGTAAGTACAAAGGGAGAGGAAGACATGTTTAACTTTAAGAGCTTTATTATTAGTATAACCCTCCCTAGTTGAATGTTGTTCTCCTCTTGTTCCATTAAGTCAAAATACAAATCAGCACAGTTACTCAGTTTCCAATATTTAAAGTGTAATGTTACTTATGAAAAGTATTTTGCCTAAGGTTGTTTATGTATTGTGTATATACCTCAAGTTCCAGTTAATGGCTTTGATTTATGTTCTAAAAAAGCGAGTAACACACAATTTAATAATATCCTTAGTTATAACCATAGTGAGATGAGTACTGGCATTGGTGGTAACTGCCATTTCGTACTTGCCGTATATTCTCTGCATCAGACTAATCAACCCCCCAACTCATCGAGCTGCTCTTTAAAAAAAAAAAAGAAAGACAGGAAAAGGAAAAAACTTGACATTGTCTACCTAATTTTTTGTTGACCAAATCACATACATGGAAACAGGTAATCCAGCTGAGTGGAAAATCTATCATATTCTTGACTTAGTATTACTAATGGACAGAATTGCATGTTGAGCAGTTATCAGATTGTTCCCTTTATTGGACCTTATGCCATCTAAATGACTGAGTAAATTGTTAATCCATTAATCAGTCAATCATTATTTGTGATTAAAGTCATTAAGTGATTTTTTTTAGCATTAATTGGAAGCTGTTGTGTGAAATATATCTATCCAGAGAAATGTCACCCTATAAATATTATCAAATAATTTAGCCAATGTGTTCTTAGATATTAAATTATAGGTCAAGCATTTAAAGTGAATTTGAGATGAAATGTAAAGCATATTTTCTAAGCAACAATTTAGGCATACATTGCTTAATTTGTAATTAATTAGAAACATTTTTGTTATCAATTTCTAGTTGAATTACATAATTATAAAATATATATGTAACAAATATATGTATATATAGCTATAAATATTTGTGCTTTATTAAGTCCTTTGAAATGTATTGCAATTATGTCATGGCTTAGTGTATTGTCTACTTTGGTGATTGCCTCATGAGGTATTTGAGATGAATGGAATAGTTCCACAAATGTTTTCTTTCCCCATTTCCACACTAACACAGATTCTAACAACTTGCCTGTCTGAAAATATATGACAAAGCATGTGACAAACTTTATCTGCATGTGAAACAAACTTCAAATGACTTATTCAGAAATTAGCATTCATAATGTTTTGATATCATCTTCAAACAAAGCTTAAATGTGAACAGATTTGTCTATGTTGAAGGTCATATTTTAAACAAGAGTCTCTATATTTTTTTCCTGCCAATTCTGGACTTTTCCCTTTGGGCAACATGACCTCATTTTTTTATACTTTCCCCCAGAGGACATGACTCTATAAGTCCTGTTCTACATGGTAATTATCCTATTGGCATCTCTGGAGATAAAGAGTCACCATAAAAATTATAATTAGTGTCCCATTGAATTTAATTAGACAAGAATCACCCTTTGAGATGCACCAAGTAAAAGACTGTAATATGTACAGTAGTTCAAATGTAGGTAAAGTGTTTACAAATCTTTGCCCTTACCTCACAGGATACTCTTTCATGAACTGAAATGATGGACTCAAAATATAATAAAGTATGTATATGAAACTGTTCTCCATCCTTCAGGAAACTCAAAGCTCAACAGTGCTGTATGAAGCCAAGAGAGTATACTGATTGAGAATCAAAATATTGGAAAGATTATTTCACTATTTCACTTTCATTGGTATAAAAGACAAAAAGAAAAGTTTGTATGTGAATAATTCATACACAATTTACAGTTTTTTCTCCAAACAAAATGTTGAATTGTATTTGTTAGTGATATGAACAAATCCTGAACAACAATGAATATTTTGATTCTCTGTTCACAATCAAGATTCGGAGTTCTTTAGTAATGCACCATTGATATTCACTTTGAAAATCCCAACTTTTTGAAATGGAATGTTTTTCCAAATGATTGAGATGAAATAGATTTCCTGCAAACATGGAAAAAGCTAATCACATGGAAACAGTTCAACATGCTGCATGAATCTTGCTCTCTGTGTCCTCAGAGATGGCATCAGTGGGAGAAGAGCGTGGGAGAAGAGCAAGGGAGAAGACAGAAGAGCCCAGAACGTGGGTTGAATGTCTGTCTGCTTATGCAGGTAACCCAGGAAGGGTATTTATACACAAGATTCTGAACCAGGCTTTACACTTTGCAAGAGTACATTGGTGGTGTGAGAATCCACTCTTTCTGAAGTCCTCTTTTGTTAGGAATCCTTTGTGATTACTAAGATATGTGGAAATTCATTCTGTCCTCTAGTATTCTTTTTAGATGTTTTTGCATTACAATGATCTGGAATAAATCGACCTTCTCTAAGATAAACTAGTCTTAGAAACTAATTTCAAGTGTAACTAACTGGGGATGGGTTCATGGGCAGATAACTGTAAATCTGATGATAGTCTCAATTAATATGTTCTCTACATATTGCTTATTAATCTGATAAAAATTAAAAGATGATGTAGCATCTATAGACCTTGATTGGATGGGTTTCAAGAACCCAAGGTAATGCTGCAGTAAGCAAACTGTCACTTCAGTTTCCACTTTTCTGTTCCCAGCTGAGCTTCAGTGTACTATTATATGTTTGTTGGCTATTGAGATGTATTCTTCCCTTAAATTTAAATTATATTTTAAATTTCTTTAATATTTAATTTATATTTTTATTACATAAGTGCTTAGAGATTTCTGTCTATTTTAGATAGACAAATCTGTGTAAATCCTCTACAATGTAAATCTTTCTCCAAACTACTTTTGTCTATTGACATTGTGGTATCTTTTACTAAATCCTTAATAATTCTTTTTTTGAAATTGTTAAATATATCTCTTAGGAATTGCAATGATCTGTTAAGATTTTTCCACTCATAAAGATGAAAAAATTATCTTCTTAATCGGTAAAAAGTAAAATTAACCTAGCTTTGACTTTTTTCATTAAAACTTTAATTCATTTTTATTTTTGTATGAGGTATTAGCTATATGTACAATTTTATTACCTTACAGATGGAAAGCGATATATGGCTACTTGGTTATTAATAATGTGTTTCTTTCCCATGTATGTCTCTTAATTACTTGCCTCTCCATTACTCTGAAAAAATTTGTGAGGGTAGTGGTAAGGTTTTAATCAACATTGTATGATAATATCTGAAAGTACTGGAACATAAACCATATTGATATTTGCTGAAAGAATAAACAAATTATCTTAAGATTTCAGAAGCTTACTGGTAATAATATTTACAGGTAAATTTGTCCTGATCTCTGCAATAAAACATACAGAAGATTCTATGGAACAAAGGAGGAATGTGACTGAGTTTGTCCTCTTGGGGCTCACTCAGAGCCCCCAGGGTCAGAAAATATTATTTCTTGTGTTCTTGCTCATCTACATGGTGACAATGGTGGGCAACCTCCTCATTGTCGTGACTGTGGTGGTCAGCCCAACCCTGGATTCCCCTATGTACTTCTTTCTTGGCTACTTATCATTTATGGATGCTGTTTATTCTACTACATTCACCCCAAATATGATTATAGACTTATTAAGTGAGAAGAAAACCATTTCATTCCAAGCTTGCATGACCCAGCTTTTTATAGGGCATTTATTGGGTGGTGCTGAGGTTTTACTCTTGGTGGTCATGGCTTATGACCGCTATGTGGCCATCTGTAAACCTTTGCATTATTTGACAATCATGAATCAGCGAGTGTGCGTACTGCTGCTGCTGTTGGCCTGGGTTGGTGGGTTTTTACATGCTTTAGCTCATCCTCTCTTTGTTTATAACCTTCCCTTCTGTGGCCCCAATGTCACTGACCACTTCGTCTGTGACATGTACCCTTTGTTAAAACTTGCCTGCTCTGACACCTACCCTATTGGCCTCACTGTGGTTGCCAATGATGGGGCAATCTGTGTGGTCATCTTTATGCTCTTACTCATCTCCTATGGGGTCATTCTGCACTCCCTGAAGAATCTTAGTCAGGAAGGGAGGCACAAAGCTTTATCCACCTGTGGCTCCCACATTACTGTGGTTGTCTTCTACTTTGTCCCCTGCATTTTTATGTATGTGAGACCGCCTTCTACCTTACCCATTGATAAATCCTTGACAGTGTTTTATACCATTATCACCCCTATGTTGAACCCTCTAATCTATAGTCTGAGAAATGGAGAGATGAAAAATGCCATGAAAAAGCTCTGGGCAAGTGTAAGAAACTGAGTTGTCAGGGATAGATATAGATATAGATAGTGTATATCACCTATTTTCAGTGAAGAATGTGTTCATTCCAGTAGAAGTCATGTGTGATTATTTAAATGTGGTAAATTTCTCCTCACGTTTCATAACTTGGGCATGATGAAAAATATTTATTATGTGAGTATTTCAAATGATCGTAATAAACTTTTAATATTTTCATAATTTCCTATATATATCTATATATATAGATATATAAGTATATATATAGATATATATTTCCTAGATAGATAGATGATAGATAGTTTGAAATATATTTTTTAAGATTTTCACAATTTCCCAGGACAATATTTATAGTTTGGGGTATATAATGTCTCTTTTGAGAATATAGATTTATGTTCTATATGATGAGTTAAGCAAGAGTTAATATTGTAGATTTATTTTAGTTAGTGGAAGATTTTCTCTTTTTACTCTCTTAAATAACGTAAACTTTCTCATAATTATTAGGACTCATTGTTAGTTTTCAGATAACAATAGAGGTATGACATAAAAAGTTTATTCACTCCATTCCACACAAAGATAGCCCATATTAACATTGAGGGATATATCTTTTTTGTGTCTGTAAGGCACTTTGCATATCTTATTTTTTTATATTGCTTAGCATGCTAACATTGAAGAATAGTGATGTTTCAATTGAGATACTAGTCATAAAGTGGTTAACTTTATAAAAATCAGCTGAATGAACAAGGTGTATATATAGAGGAATAACCAAATCTCATTTATTTTCCCAGTTGGGTAATCATATTTTCTCCTCAAGTGGAGCAGCTTTGTTTGGATTTATATTTTCATACAGATGATCCATTCGTCTTCCCAGTGGTTTAGAATATCTGGTAATACATCTGCTCCTTTCCATATCCCTGGCTCCTTTTTTATTTTTAACTTATTGTGTTTCATAGCCTTCTATAGAGACACAAGCTCTGCCTCTCATCTGTAAACTTCGCATAAACTGTAATCCACAAACTTCAGCAGGAACTACAGAACTTGATACCAGGTATTTTGAGTGGTATTATTGTTAAAATAAATGCTGACTATATATGCCATTCTTGTCTCTCTTATTAATGAGATACAGATTGCTAGGTAATCAAGAGATCACTATACACTGTTTTATGTGACATATCAATCATAAAATAGTTTCTCTGAATCAAGGTTGAAATAAAATATTATCTGCCTCTAAATGGTCAGAAGCATGTGGCCAAAGAAATTTACTATTCTGCCTCCATTAGTTCATCTTGATTTATGAGGGGCAAAGTCTTTGGATCAGTGGGTAATTTTCACTAGTAAATCACACTGTATGAGAAACCTCATACCCTGACTTTTATCCCTGTTAAATGGAGATTTTTTATATTACCTCAAAGTCTTCTCAAATACAATGCTATTCACTAAAAATACCAAGCATTTGAGTTTATCAGATTTTAAGTAGTTTTTTCCTCCACTTTTCAATGTTGCTCAAGACCGAGAGTTGTGTCCCTCTTCAAAATCAGAAGTTAAATCCTTTATAATATGGTGGTATTTGGAGGTGGGCCCTTTAGGAAATGATTAGATCATGAAGGTGGAGTCCTCATGACTGGGATTAATGCCCTTTTAAAGAAACTCTAGGACCCATGACTCTTCTGCCATGTGAGGACACAGCAAGATGATGACTGCCTATTAACAGAAAGGGACCTTACCAGCTACCACGTTAATCTTGGACTTATTATCCTCCGAAACTGTGGAAAATAAATGTTTATTATTTACACCACTCAGTCTTTTGTATTCTTTATTTAGTTATTTCAACTGATGAGATAAATGTCATTATTGTGTCTGTTCATTGGTCTATAATCTCCCTGAAGTCAGGGAAATTTTAATTGTTTTAGTGTTCTCTGTTTCTTGAACAATATAGAATCCACTCTATAGACTTTGTCAATTACTTGAATTCTTGGCCTATTGAAATGAGTATTTTTTCCTGATAAATTTTGATTAACACATTCTACATTAAAGATATATAATATTGCTACAAATATTTACTCTTTGATGTTTACTATAAATATTTTAAAATTTTATGCCTTTTATTTTATAATTATGAGTCTTTTTATATAAAGATTTTATTTTAATATTCTTCTATTTTTTGATATTTTATATCACACCACTCTTGGAAAATTTCATAACCTTCCAATGACTTTATCAATTTTAACCTTTTTTCAAAAAAAAAACTTTTCAAAACATTTTATTTTTTAATCCATCTATCATTTTTTATGACAAGGAAATAGCTAAGCCCAAACAGTAAAAAAATAATTATTAATTTCTGCAACAATCTGAACAATTTCTATTTAGTACCTCAAGCTTTACACCATCAAGAGGGTTCCATTTGGGGAAATTTTCCTCATCCTCCCCATCTCTTCCAAAATTTTATGATCATTTTGCAAAGTTTGAAATCTTCCCATAAAGTATGTTTAGAATGTCATGACACTACATGTTTATTTTGAGGAAAAACTACAAATTTTAATATCTTGTTTTCCCATTCAGGAAAAAAAAACATATTGTGAATAATTGATGCTTCAGTAAAAATTTGCAATCACTTTCATAGAGTATACATAAATCTTGCCTTGTGGTTTTCTTATTTAAAAAGAGGACCCTCTTATTTATATTTGACTCACATTTTCAAAAATCAAGTCAGAAAAGGCTTACTGTCTTTTCCCAGTGTGAATTACAGCACAATCCTCAAAGTCTTAGACATATATCTATTTCCAAACAATCATAGGTTTGTATCAAAAAATACATAATATGTATCCCATCATAGCTCAGATCTGTATCCAACCTCATGAGAATCTCTATGACCACTTGTACATATACTTTTAATGATATGTAGTTCTGTATCTAATTGCACCATGTGTCTATACATAAACACACGTAGGAGCGTATATGATAACACATGGATCAGTAACTGCCTGTCTGAAAGTATTTGCATATGTACACGTTTATGTATTTGATATGGTCACACACAAGTCTGTGTCTATCCACACACAGCTATTCTGCTATTCACTAGTCTGTATCTGACAACATATAAATTTAGGCAGAACTTGACTAAACAATTCTTCTCTTCCATGTGGCATAGATTGAGGTCATTCTCTGGTATTCAGCTGATTGCTGGACTTTTAAGGAGGATCCAAGATGAACTGACTTATATGAATGGTTCCTTGCATGGATGGCTACAAGACTGGGCTCTTCTGGTTCTCATTCCTTCTCCATGTAGATAAAAGGCAATGCAGACAATATCTGCCTAATGAGGCTGTCAGGCTGGTAAAATGGCAGCGCAGGGCCCCCAGGTGGAGGCAAAAGCTGTCAGGCCAGTTAGTTCTCATCCTATCATGACATCAGCTTGAGGTCCAGAATCTCAAGCTCTAAATTCACACTGCTCCTACACACTGAATGAAACAATCAACAAAATAAAAAGTAACCTATGGAATGGGAGAAAATATTTGCAAATCATATATCTCATAATGAATTAATATCTAAAATATATAAAGAACTTCTATAACTAAATAACAACAATGAGACTAACCCAATTTAAAAATGGGCACATTGGAAGTTGCTCAATATCACTAATCAACAGAAATGCGTATCAAAACTAAAATGAGATATCACCTTACACCTGTTAGATGGCTATGAGACATATAGAAGACAAAACATTTTGGTGAGGATATAGTGAAAAGGGAACTCTACTATAGTTTAGTGTGGATAAAAGTTTGTTCAGCCACTATGGAGAACATTTTGGAATTTTCTCAAAATATTTTCTTTAAAAAACTACCATATGATTCAGCCATCTCACATCTTTGTATAAGTCCAAGAATATGAAAGCAGGAATCTGCAGAGATATCTATGTTCATTGCAGCATTATTCACAACAGCTAAGACATGGAAAGAACCAAAATGCCCATTGATGGATGAATGGTTTAAGAAAACATATATATATTCATTTTTGCCAAAAAAGCTACTTTAATTCAAAAACTGTTTCTTTTTTCTAGATGGAAAAAATGATGGGCAGTCTACAATGGCTATATAGATTAATTTATGGAAGTTTTATAGAAAGGGATCCCTGAAAAAATAACTTTGTCCATGATCAGCCTGAGATTAGATTAAATTTGATTAGGTAAATGGATATTGTTACTAAAAGTAGGCTGGTGCAGTACCAGATTTAGTTTTTTTGCTAAGAGATTAAGTTGACTTAAATGTTGCTTTTGAATAACAGATTTTGGGAACTTCCTTGCCTTTAAGTGATTTGTATTTGCTCTGGAAAACTTTTGTCACTTTGGCTTAGCAAATACATATTCACTGTGACCTATGATCCTATTTGACCAATTGTTTTGAAATTTTTGGATGTTGTTGACAAACTTTCTATCACATTCTAGTTAAATCTTCCAGCAGACCTTGGGATGATTCAGAGGGCTCCTGAGGCATCTCAGAGAGAAATATTACTCTAACTAGGATTGTTTGGTATGCTAAATTACACGGGAAGCATTGTCAAATGAATGATAAGCCACCTTAGATTTTATGGTATGGATAAATGTTATTAATAGACATTCTAGAAATTATATACATTTTCTTAAATTTAGATATGTTCTGGTATAATGTTATCCATCATAATCTAGTGTTATCTTAAAATATTTTATGTCACAGAACCTTGATTAAGCTTCTTTGTCAAAAACATTGTAAAGAGATAGTCAATATTGTCTTTAGTCTTTCATCATTCATAGAAGTAAAGTTCATGCTTTGTAAAATTACTTCATTTTCAAGAATATTCATAGAATGAACGTTTTGACAAGTACAGGTTTCTGATAACATTTAAATCATATTGATGAACTGGGTAAGATTTTTTTTTAAATCTAATGAAATCAGTTTCATAAAATTGTTATCAAAAAAGATTAATTGCTTAGGATGGAGTAAACTGATGAATATAGTTATAATTTTTTTAATTTTGTCTGAAATATTACTAACTTTCAATCTATGATTTCCAAATG